ATTGAAGAAGATAATTATGGAAACCCATTAGATTCATATAATTTTGGAGAAGATACATTCGAATATATAAAATATCTCTTCTATTGCGGAGCAGGACGATAGGCGATGAATCAGAGATTCGAGACTCTGTCTCTTCTTCGAATCATGACTCAAAGAGCCTACGTGTATTAGAAAAGATATAAATAGATTAAGATATTTAACAATTTTTTTTACCGAATCGAAATCGGTAGTCTATGCTTTCACCGTTACTATTTGAATTGGATTTTGATAGGCCAATATCATGCATTTTAAACCCGCAAATCGGAGATGTCATAGTCTCGTGGAACATGCAAATCGTTGATAATCGATAAGTTGCGTATTTACAGCAATCACCCAATCAAGATTGATAAGGGCGGAGCGTCGTTCTATATCTGGGGTAATCGTTGCACGATATTTCGGGACGTACTACAAGCATATAATTAATTTACCGGTGTGGCTATATGGGGTGTACAACTCGATACTCGATCATGTGCCCGATAAAAACCACATCGCTTTCTTTATTATTATAAGATAAAACCATCTATATCATTTATATTCTAAAAATACGCGCTTGTTCTATGCTCATTAGATCTTGACGTTTTCTTGGATCTTCTCTGCCTCTTTTTATGTTGTTCGTCGGGTGTTTCTTCTCTAGGTGATGATACTGTAGTACTTTTTTCGACACGATGCGTCTTACTTGTGGGTACTTGCATTAACAGAGATAAATTGACGATCAAAATATTCTATATAAAACAAAATTAGTTTTGTTATACGCATAAACGAAATCTGGTATACTAAAATAAATACCCGCAAATTCAACAATAATTCGACAAATTCAGGTAGAGTCGATAATGTTGGATCCGACCATTGTATAGGAATTTGCGTTTTTTTCAGATGGTAATATCGATGTACATCAAGGTTATCCCTGATAAGTACATTTAACTGGATTTCGGTCCCTATAATATTACACCTTATTATTAGATCGGTAAATAATGGACTAGAGTTCTGAAATAGTCTTATTAAAGTTTACCTGCGACTTGAATCCCCACAATGCCAAATTGATCTTTTTCAGGTTTACACCCTTGTCGTACCCAAAACATACCATCGTTTGTTTCCCTCCACAATTTTACTTCATCTTCTCTTTTTTTGATATCGCTACATAATAAACGTGAGCATTCACCAAATACAAGCTCAAATATCTTACCCTCCCGTTTTTGTAAATACATGAAATCTGGTCGTTTTCCAAAATATCCATCCCCTTTCCTATCTGCACTGGCAATGCTTTGTCGCTCCGCACTATAATAAATTAAACGTGACTTTGATAGTGATAAATATAATACTACTTAAATAAAACGACTTACGTGCTGATAAATGCAGATTGCCTGTATGGTAGCCCTTTCAATGATGCCCGAATCGAAGGGATTATTACATCTGTTACATACGTTCCCTCACTTTGTGTTTTCATAAGTTCCGGTCCAAATGCTGGATTCATCCAAACATTGGCCCTATATGTATAATCAAATGGTATAAAAATATTATTAATTTAAGGATCTTAGAAACTTCGTCCATTTTGAAAATTACTTACACTGCATCAAGAATATCCTGTGTAACTCTTATAAGGGTTTCATCCGACTCTTTCCATTCCCCATTATGCGTAAGTTTTATACATAAGTCGTCAGTATATTCTTCTGAAAACCCTGATACAAACTCGTGGCATTTATCTTGTATCAAGTCTGGGAGTGGGGTGGTCATATTACGTGCTGGTTTCTGTTGAGAATCAATTTATATAATTAAAACGATAATCACAGCAAAGAAAAACAAAGTAACTCTTACCATAAAATTTTGATACTGTTTCGGTGACAACTTTTTTACTACGATTGAATCATCGCTTATGACTTGACTAGATAGAGGATCTTCCCAGGTTAAGTTTGTAATGGGAATATTTTTCACGTTTTGATAGAGTTCTACAGAAAGGGGGGATGAATCGCTCAAAAGTTTCCCTTGTAAAGATCGTATATTTTTCTTGATTGTATCATCATTGAAGGGAACTTGTTCACTCTTTACAAATGTATATATATATTAGTTTATATTCATAGATATTATTATTACGAAAATTAATCTGTCATACCGTCTTCAACGCCTTGATATCACGTAGACTACAGATAGTTTCATAGGCACATTCGAACTGACGCAGAATAATGTTATGTTAGTCTAACCTTGTAGTATATATTTCCACCCGATTTGCGCGCGCTATCAGAAATATCGTAAAGTTGCCATCCTTGTTCGGCCGCCACAAGGACGATAACTTATCTAAACATAACTCCACAGAGTCGAAACACCCTTCACTACGTTCGAAATCGTAACTTGTACTTGTAGGCTCAGGCATTTATTTTGACTTTGTCAAGCAATATCTGCGTCGTCATCATATATATGAAAAAATAACTAAAAAAAAAGAATAACCAACCTCTAAAGGAATATTGGAAATCTTTCTAAAGCGTTCAGAATCTTCGCCAGCAATATTTTTAATGGACCGAATTGCGTTAATCGTCAACTTTAAAAGTTCATCTTTTGATATTGTTTGGTCTTCTTCCGTGCCTTTGTAAATTACCGATCCTGCTGTAATATGCTTTACTGGTTCATCTTTCATAAAGTCCAAAATTCTATTAAATACGGTGGTCGACATATTCACTTGCAGAAGTTTTTTGGTAGAATGTTAGTTTGTAAAGAATTCACTATAAAGCGACAAACCACAACGCAAATATACTGCCCTTTTAAAACGTTCCCCCGCTCATTTCTACCGCATTTGGGTATGTGAATAGTAGGCTCGGAGAGACAGGGAATGTGAAACTCAAGCGATGCAAGCCCATGGGTATTTAGTATGTAAATATGCACGACGAAAAAACTTTTCACAAAGAAAATGCAACAAGCGGGTCATACAATTACATCATGCATGAGATGTTCCATGACATTCTAATTTATTCTGTGATGTATGTTGTTGATCAAACATCTGTGTCACGCAATCGATTTCGGGAATTTAGTCACAGTGGTCGTACAGGATTTTTTCTGTGTTCTCCAGCTTCAGAGCGTCAAAATTGCTAACTATCTGGCTCACAGAATCGAGGCTGGTGTGTAATTTAGATTGCATCATGCATGAAAGGTTCCATGACCTTCGATTTTATTCTGTGGTATAGTATGTGATGTATCGATCAAACATCTGCTGTGTTACGCAATCGATTGCGGGTTACACGATTACATCACATGAAAAGTTCCATGACCTTCTATGATATAGCATGCGATATATGTAATGGGCTCACGTGCCTGATCGAACATCTGTATTACACAATCGATTTTTATTACTAGACAGACCTAGTATTATGTCACGCATAACTCGACAAAGTGCTAAAATTTTATGTGTCAGAGACACTAGCTCCGCTATTACTTTTTCGAACAAAATTCTGTATAACGGGACGAAATCTAGATGTATTAACATCCTGCTTCATAGACGCCCCTCTTCATTTACACTTGAGGTGGCTGATTATCTACATCAGGCATACTAACATCACTATCATTCCGTGATGTATTAAGCTTTGATGAAGACGAGTATGTTGCATTATCTAAATCCTTACTCACACCATTCGCATTACGGCCTGAATCCCTACTCACATCATTTACCTTATTTCCATTATCTCGATTATTACCGGTGGTGGCTGTTTCACTGTCATCCTCATTCCTTCCTCCAGTAGCTCTTCGGATAGGTGATGCTGATCGATTCCTTTGAGTAGTGGATTCACGGTGACTCCTACTTGGAATTGATGACACTCTATCATAAGTTGGCGGTGGAGTACGGTTACGGTGTCGTCTTCTGGTAGATGTGTTTGCACTATGCACTAAGTCAAATGCTGTTTCTTTTTTCCACGTGTAATGAAATTGTATATTTGCTATTAGCGGAGCCTTTAGTAAAACTAAATTATAAAATATTCGGTGACTTACCTGGTCTCTCCCAAAAACGAGAACGAAATTCTTCAAAATATCGCTCACCGGTTCTGCTTCTCTTGCCTGTTCTGCTCCCAGCTATGTATTGCCCCATTAGCTGATAAATTTTCATATTAGATACTATCACAAATGTATTTCCTCGGTATATGGCTTCTACAGGAAATAAATACTTACATTATGATCTCTTACAAGATGTTGAAATTTATTCTTACATTGGTATCCCGTATAGCTGGTTCCAAATCGTTTGTTGATTGTATTCGCAATACTATTCCAGAAATCTACCCTGCTACTTCCAGGTATATCATGATACTCGTCATTTCGATTTTTTCTCTGGTCGATTAGTAAGCGTAATTGATCGTCAGTCCACATCACAAAAAAATTCGACGTGTGTTGGTACTCAACTGAGATACTCTAATGATGTGTATTGCGAAGCAATGGGGCTCCGCCCTTATTTTTCATAGAATTATATAAGAAAAAAATCTGTCGCATCTACGTCGCATCTTCGTCGTATCTATATTGCATCTCAATTATGAGTATAGCGGAGAGCGAAGCACATTGTTCCACAATATACATATAATTAATGGCTAGAAAGTTGCACATCTCGGATTTGAACATCTCGGACTGAGCAATCTCAAATGGTGGTGTCGTATATCCATATAGGTGGAAAATTAAATAATATACTTGTAATACACCCAAAATAAAATATGCAACGATTATCTCAAATAACGATCCACACACCCGAAATAGATTTCATGTGTCAAAAATAGATCCACAGTACACGAGCGATTTATACATAAATATCGTCACAAAAAATTCTTATTGCGAAGCAATGCTCTTCGAGCCTAGAATAACCGCAACTCTCGCTACAGCCCAGGCCCAAAGGGGCGAATCTTTGGATTCATATGCATCTCTCCCATTCTCATCGTATACATCACTCGCAAAATATGACAATTATACACAACTCATCTAATAACCCAGGCCCTATGAGGCGCTCTTCAAGCATCCGCACTAAAATTGAATCGTATATTCATATTGTATAAAGTTATTAGTGGAATAGCAAGGCTAAATCTAATAGGTAGGTCAAAAACGCTAAAACCGCTAAATATAATATTCTCTATAAGCGATAAATATGTCAGGTTTTAATATTCCTATTATTATTGATAAAAAAAGTAAATTACAGAAACCTATTAATAATAGACCGGGATATGATATGAAATATATAGAGACATATATCTACAGATATTGTGGAATTAATAAGTATCAACAATTCTTCGATAAACTCTTTGAAATTGAAAGACAATATGATACTTTATCTGTTATTCGACCCAATGAAACTCCACAACAATGGGCTATTCGGGTCAGGGTTCCTTTACAAGAATTAGTCTCTGAAAAGAAAAGAAGCGTATATCACGTACACTGTTTATATGGTGGGTTTGGAAATTCTAAACTAGTCAATCACGACTACTACAGACCGAGAATTCACAAAATTCATATGGCAATTTGTCTTGATTGCTGGAAATTGATTCAAGTTAATGATGTGAAACCAAAGAAAGTATACGCTTCTGCTATTTACAGATATATCGAAAAGATTGAACCTGCAGATTTGATGAAGTATCATTGGGATAATGAATGTAATAATCCAAAATCTCAAGATGGATATGCTCGAATCATACAAACTGCTTATCGCCGATTCAAAGAAAGAGTACCATCAAATGCGCGTCTTGCTTGGTTAAGTTTACCAAATGATAATATTCCAGATGATAAGAAATTTCTAGGTTTAACTACTCGTAAAGTAAAAAATCCTCAAACTCAAGACCAATTCAATCAGTGGAGAGATGAGCAAATTGCAATGTATAAAAGATGTAATTTAAATATTCCTTTAGATATTTATGTTAGAAAATATGAAGAATATATTATTCCATACGATTGGATAGGTA